AACGGCGATTTTGTAGAGAACTTGTATGCCCTGTTAGATCCACTGGCAACCTTAGCAGTGCGATATTGCTTTATAATATAGAAAATAAATTCTGCACTATCTGGATTCGAATCTCATTGTAATCTATAGAAGTATCAGGAAAGGTCGAAAATAAGGTCTATGCTAGGTTAGAAATCTTTTTCGTGTAAACTCATACGGAACTTACGTATAACAAAAGTTACTACAAGTTCTTCTTTACTTTAACAGATCTAAAGTGAGTACATTTCTTATTAAATATTTATCCATATTCTAGAAAGTTAAAGCGATCTTGCAGGATAAATATGTACAATCTTATCTTAAATTATGAATACCTATAGAGTTGGCCTGAAGATGCCTTAGAAATGGTGGCAAACAAGTTTCTGGAAGAAATCGATCTGGAAGATGAAGTTAGAGATTCAATCGTGGTTCTTTGCAAGTATTTCCATGAAAGTGTGAGGAAGTTATCTGACAAGTAAGTATTAATTCACATTTACAAGATTTAACCACCCACATATTTTGAGTGCTGCATATTTAATCCAAACTTTCAATTACATTCTTTATATTTACATGCAATTCTAAATCGATTTCTGACTTAAGTACTTGTCCTGGTGATTGAGTACAAATGTTATCAGATTATAGATATGAAATATATTGAGCAATCAACTATTACTTTATTAAATGTTATCACTGGAAGGCTTATTAAATGGTGACATATACATGTAATAGCTCTCATTATCAATTTATTATAGTTATTATGATCCGGCAATTCAGATTTTAAATTCTTTGAGAGCATATGTCTGCAGTACACTTCATTGCTTTTATTGAGATATTAACTACTTTCTGTTCAACCATTATTTTGTTACTCATATTCTAGTTCAGATGCTTTCTGCCAATCCGTTATCATTTTGGCTTTTATACATTACTTCATTTGTTCCTAAATGAATATACTAGGTTATAGTTCAAAAGGTGACTTCTTCGTATATCCAAAAGTAGGATCCTTTGTAGACCAAGATGCAGTCATTAGCTGCATTCAGATTTATACTCTAGATCTGTTATCAAAGTTAGCGCAACCAATTGCACTTAAATTTAAAATCTATTGCAATGGAAATATTTGTCTGAATGAATTAGCTTTTTCTTTAACATCTCTCTTCATAAGCCATTTTGAAATATAAAATATATCCCAAAGAGTTATGATAAGTTTCTTATGGAAATATATATATATATATGTAAGGCTGGTGAGTACCAAAAAAACTTTCAAAATATCCTAGGATTTACTCAAATTATCTATATATTTATTCATTACTAGGTAACACCCTACAATTATATATTATTTCATATTTTTTTGCAATAATAAATCTTTTGATCACTAACTGACATTTGGAAAAGATATTATTCCTATTAAATACAGGCATGGTATGGGGTTATTAATATGAGTCTTCTCCATGCATTAAAGCAAAGAAATTATCAAAAATAAACACTATTAAAAATACTTTACCAATAGCATTAAGTCTTACATGATGCACAATTTATAAAGTTATTTATTACAATTTAAATCTTACGTAACCTTAGGCTATTGGCCCTGTGCCAATAGGTCGCTTAAGCTGGTGAACAGCTCAGCTGAGTTTTCCAATAATGATTTCAATAGGCCTGACAACGCCTCTTAAAATGCATTCTCATTTACGGAAGACTACAGTGCCAATCTGCCATCTGTGAAAGTGGATGACAGGATATACCTGCTTTTTAAAATAAACCAGGCCTCCTACTTACCGCATTTATATTTCAATATGAAGCCTTTAGATAAGCAAGAGTTGGCAAAATTAAATAAATTTTTGAGACTTACTCTTAGTATTTGAAAATATTCAAGTATCAGTCCTTCATCGCCTTATGCGAAGTAGAGTAGTTAAGGCTTTATTTCTCATCCACTGACCATGAATACGATTTTTGTATATTAAATCATAAGATTTCAATTCACCGACAGTATTTCCTAGATATTGTACACAAATATTTTCATTATTTAAATTGGTATTTTTTCGTTTTAGGAATGAGTTAATAATCTGATAATGTAGAATATGATAGCCCTTTACTTTTTGGCCAAGCAAATTGTGCAATTGTCGTATTAGATAAAATAGAGCTTTTTTATTTGATCTATAGAGGGTAATGTTTGATCTTCACCGAAGCTTAACGAAGAATAGAATTTAAATAGTGACATACATTTCCAGTTTGAATGAAAAGTTGCTTGGAAGGAATTCGTAATGTGTACTCACCAGAAATCTAAGGAGGATTTCCGCGTAAGTAAGACTATTTTATTGTGCGAAGAAGTCCTTGTCTGCACGTTCTGCGCTTCCAATAAACTGCACAAAGCTTTCGTTTGTATTGTGACAGTCATTATCAGAGCAAGAATCCAAACTTTACGAAATAGAGTAAACATATTCTTACTCAACATAAAAAATGTTCGGCTGCATCCCTAGTCGATTTATATACGACTAAACTTGAGATCTTAATTAGGCATACCAAATGTAATTAACTACATCAAACCTACTTTACATGTTTACAGATAATCGAAGTTACTTTACGAACCAAAAGTGCATTCTCTTCCCACAGAATTTGATTCACTTTTACTTAAAAGATTTGTTTTAATGGCCAATATTTTACATATATTCTTCAAAGCTAGCTGATTTTCAAGTTATTTTTAAGAAAATCTTCTTCCGTGTATACTTTGTTGTAAGAATAAAAACAAATAATGCAAAATCAATCCTCATTAAGTGTTCATTTATCTTTTTGTTTAAGATTTCTGGAAACGCTTCGTAGGCATAACTACGTGACTCCTACATCTTACCTGGAAATGATCCTTACTTTCAAAATGCTAATTGCACGCAAGCGTAATGAATTGACTACTTTACGCAATCGCTATCTCACTGGTTTGGAGAAGCTGGAATTCGCAGCCAGTGAGGTGGGGAAGATGCAGATAGAACTGCGCGATCTGCAGCCTCAGTTGATTGAAACGAGTCGCGAAACCGACCTGCTGCTTGGCCAAATTGAACAGGATGCCGGTGAAGTGGAGGCAAAGCGTGAGGTCGTGGCTGCGGATCAATTAGTGGCTAATCAAGCGGCAGCCGCCGCACAAGCGATAAAAGATGAATGTGAAGCAGATTTGGCTGAGGCGATGCCGATTCTGAAAGATGCCTTGGCTTCTTTGGATACTTTAAAGCAGAGTGTAATTTATTATTACTGATTGGCCTTCGAAAAATCTTCCTATGATAAAATAGCCCTTTAATTTTCGGCATCATACATAGGCCACTCATCTTCAGTTATTGAGATGTAGTCTATAGTAAGCGGAATTTATGAACCTAAAGGAAGATAATTGTTCAGATATTACAGTTTTGCGCCTAAACTAGGAGATAAATTTCTAGTTCAATTTTATCCAATGCATGAAACATAATTTTACTAATATATGTTTAGTTAATCTATTTGATTTGAGGTGATAAGGGGACACTGATGTAAGTAGACCCACACTTCCATTGTATTTCACGTAACTTTGCCACCCCAAAGGTATTCTTATCCAGAGTGGACTGCAGCTTCGATCTTGCATAGGTCTTATAAACACCTCCAGCGGTACTAGAACCATGAAATGTAGCGTATAATCTGGACAGGCTAAACACTAGGCCATATTGCTTTGAGTGCCCTTAGGTCATAGGGCAGATGTGAATTATTAATAAAATACGAAAAATAAGTAA